TAAATTTGTCCTTCGCCTTCTTGTCAATTGACTCAACTCCTTAGAAGCATGAAAGTCTCCTTTCCCAAATGCTCCGCATAAAGGGCTCCATTCCTTAGTTCGATTCTCCTTCTACTTACTCTACTTCCCACCAACTTTGAAATAACTTAGCCACCACCCACCAACCTGGAAAACACCCAGTCTGCATGTAGGAATGGCAACGGGACGGGACGGGGTGGGGCCGGGCCGAGGATCACACTCCCCGTCCCTGATCCCCGATTGTGAAAATCTCCCCGGCCTCGGCCCCGATCCTTGAAGAGAAACCTACCACCCTCCCCATCCCCGCCCACTAACGGGGATCGGATTTCCCCGACCCTGAAAATTCCCTGCCCCTCAAATCTGTTTCAACACCACCACCATCATCAATAACAACAACAGAATCATCAACATCATCAACCGAATCATCAACATCAACATCAACATCAACATCAACATCAGCATCAACAGATTATAAACCAAAAAATAAAAAAAATGGACAGATAAACAGATTAAAAAATGGACACAAACAGATCTGAGATTTGTGTCACAGAGAGAGAGAGAGAGAGAGAGAGAGGGAAGAGAGAAACCGCCTCCGACGTCCACTGCTCTGACGCTGATACACAAACGATCTGAGATCTTGAGGAGGCGCTTCGTCACGTACGCCGCCTCTGATGCCGACTGCTTCCCCCTGTACACGATCGGAGACTGCGACTGCTCCCCTCCGACGTTGACCGCCTCCGACGCCGACTATCCCTTCGTTACCGCTGCTGCTCGATCTACTGAAAGAGAGGGAGAAAAGAGAGAAACTGAGAGAGAAGATGGAGAGAGAGAGAGAGCGCGAGAGCACTCTGTGTTGTGTTTGTGTTGAGTGTGTGTGAGTGTTCAAACAAAACCTTACACACACACATATGTTATATATAAGCAGAGGCAAAAGAGTCATTTCACGTTGGGGGCAACCGGGCCAGGGATCGGGGCCAGGGCAGGGTCGGGCCAGACCGGGTCAGGGACTGAAACATGTATCCCCGTCTCCAGCCCGAATATCATTGGGGATTTAATTTTTAATACCATCCCTGGCCCGTCGGTGGTATTTTTCGGGGAATAACCGCTTAATTCGAGGTCGGGGGATCAGGTCCCCGTCGGGCCGGGTTCCGATTGCCATCTCTATCTGCATGAAACTAGCCAGAGCAATTCCACACCTCCCTAGCCACTTTACTAAGGGAGATGGTCCTCTAACTCCGTCACCTCCTTGCACTTTGAACTTCAATTTAGGGGAACATGTCGTCTTCAAATGCAATTGTAAATTTACAAAATCTTCCTGAGAGCTGCAATCCACACGTAAAACCTACCTTGAAAGGGACTTTAAAAGTTCATACCCTTTTCAATAACACAAAGATTCTTGTGTAACAGTTTGTAGTATTTCTTAGCTTCATACTGTTGGACTTGCATGCTACTAGTGTTAGAATTAGTATTATTTTAGCTGGATGTTGTACAATATTTGCTACAGTTAATCAACTTTCTTGATTGAATATGTTATGCTGGTTTTGGCATTTATATTAGCCATTACCTAAACACATACACACACAGGGAACCCCAATGCAAAGAAGTGGAGGATCAAACTCATCTTTTTATGTTGAGGTCGCATGTCTATTTATCGTGGAAGTCTTCTAATGTTTCATATTGTTTTTTTCAAAGTTTTCTTAAAGTTTTCATATCAAGCCCCTATTTTATAATTTTGATTCCATATCACATTTTGGCCTTCATTGTCGTTTTCCATTTTTGCTTCGCTTGCTGGCAACCACGGAATAAAGTAGAAGTAAGTTCATTTATAGAAAATTCAATATGACCGCATCGCAAGGAGATGAAAATAACCAATCATGCTTAGATGTGCAAGGAGATGGTAGACATCCCAAACGAAACACTATGTTTAAGTGGAAACAACTTATGACTATTTGACCTTTGTCAGCATGTATTATGATGGCCTTGTAGTTGAAGGTTCACTATTAAGTTTATGCTCAATTTTAGTACATTTTGAGTTTATTTCAGTCATGTTCTGTGTAGGCGTGCTTTGAAGGTAACCCGTTTAGGACAATTCCTGGTCCTTTCAAGCTCTTCTGGCAATGCATGCGCTCAAAACCTGGGTATGTTTTCTTTCATTCGGATGACTTATCCCAATTTTTTCTTCTCTCTTTTTTTTTTTTTTTTTTTTCCATTCACTTATACTATAGTACATTCTTTTGATATACTGATGAAGCATCTTAGATTATGTCTTCTTTAATCTTCAAAATTTTCTAATTGGTCACTGAAAGCTTTTCGTTGGCAAAATCACATCGAATACCAGATATGTAGATTATAATTTGTTAGAAGTTGCTTCATTGACCAAAATTTCCATCGCACAATAATTTGAAGTCTTTTCTACTTTTTGAGATAACTCATTGCTTAATTCTAATTTCAATTGTTCCATTACATTTTTAAGTAATTGTTGCTGCTGATCAATTGATTGAATGTTTGATGTACAGTGAAGAACCAACGGAACCATTCTACTATTTGCAATTGGACCCACCAACAAGAGAAGTGAAGCTTGAGTGATGCTCGTCTCCAAATGCCATATATCTGCTTTTAGGTTGGACCCTTACGTCCTCTGAATTTCGAGTTTTGTTATCGTTGCCTGATTCGCTAATATGGCATATATTTTGGCCTTCAAGTTCAAAATAATATGATTTTTCACATTGTGGTGGAAAAGCTTGTTCCGAGTAAACTAGTCGATTGATGACACTTTTAAATCTTCCTTTGAGAAGCATCACTTGTGATCATTCAAATTCCCTCTAGCTTACCTACATTTTCTCCCCCAACAAGTCAGTGTGTCTTTTACAATCCCACTTATTTTCAGAAGATGCATCATGTCCTCAACTGAAACACATATAGGGTTGTAAATGAGCTGAGTCGAGCTAAGTAGTAGGTTATTCAAACTTGATTTAAAAACTTATCAAGCTTCCAAAATATGTTCAAGCTTGGCTTGTTTACCTTTCAAGCCAATCTGAAATGAGTTTTGATTGAGCTAATAATGAGCCGAACTCAAGTAGCTTGATTTTTATAATATATATAAGCTTATTGAGCTCAGTAATAGGTTGAATGAAACAGAGTTATTCTTACATGGAGATGTGGGCTCCTGAGCTTGTATCATCCTCTTCATTATATTCAAATGAAAAAACTCTGAATATTCACTGGGAACAGACAATTAATACGAACCCTGTGAACCGGTTGATTTCAATCTTCTTACTTAGGATCCAAGCTTTGAATATTTACCTTTCAAGATGATCTCAAACGAGTTTCGATTGAGCTGATAACGAGTAGAACTTAAGTACCTTGATTTTCATAATATATATAAGCTTATTGAGCTGAGTAATAGGTTGAATGAAACAGAGTTATTCTTACATGGAGATGTGGGCTCTTGAGCTTGTATCATCCTCTTCATTATATTCAAATGAAATAACTTTGAATATTCATTGGGAACAGACAATTAATACGAACCCAGTGAACCGGTTGATTTCAATCTTCATACTTAGGATTTAGAAATTTCCTACTCTACTTACAAACCAAATAGGTTTAATCCCAAGCAAGATCTAGAAATTGATGATGGGTTCTCCGATTGTGAGGTTTCGCTCAGGAGCCCATGGTAGGTTGAACAGCTTTGCCATGATGAACTCGAAGATCTTGTTCACATTAATGTTGTAGGTTGCTCTTGAAAAGCAAAGTGTTGCTTTCAGGGCTTTTGCATATGCTCTTGCTTGTTAACAACAATACCCACATGTTAAATACTTTCTGATATTGGATTTAGGGTTTAGGTGGGAACAACGAACTGCTGTTCTTCTCAAAATAGATTATTGGAAAGGTTTGGTATTGCTCGTTTTTTTTGGGAATTGAAATTGAGAACTTGTGTGTTTCTGAAAATTATTTGTTGGAAACATATCAGTTTTAGGAAAGCCTTATAAATTGTTTCATGAATTTTTGAAAATTGTTTCTACACAAAAATGAAAATGAAAATTGTTTTTGAAACTTTTCATTATTTTTGTTTCTAAAAATATGAAACTAATTCTTTTTTTAAAACAATATCGAACAGGCCATGTTTGCCACTTTAATCAGTGTGTTCCAAGAGTGAAAAAGATAGTTGAACCTATAACAATTTTTTAAATTTAGGGGCCCTATTTTTGGGCCAAAATATGGGGCCTAAGGCACAAGCCTTACCTGCCTTAGGCCAGGGCTGGCCCTGGTTCTCCGATTGTGAGGTTTCGCTCAGGAGCCCATGGTAGGTTGAACAGCTTTGCCGTGATGAACTCGAAGATCTTGTTCACATTAATGTTGTAGGTTGCTCTTGAAAAGCAAAGTGTTGCTTTCAGGGCTCTTGCATATGCTCTTGCTTGTTAACAACAATACCCACATGTTAAATACTTTCTGATATTGGATTTAGGGTTTAGGTGGGAACAACGAACTGCTGTTCTTCTCAAAATAGATTATTGGAAAGGTTTGGTATTGCTCGTTTTTTTTGGGAATTGATATTGAGAACTTGTGTGTTTCTGAAAATTATTTGTTGGAAACATATCAGTTTTAGGAAAGCCTTATAAATTGTTTCATGAATTTTTGAAAATTGTTTCTACACAAAAATGAAAATGAAAATTGTTTTTGAAGCTTTTCATTATTTTTGTTTCTAAATACACAAAATTAAATCTTTTTGAAAACAATACCGAACAGGCTGTGTTTGCGACTTAATCAGTGTGTACCAAGAGTGAAAAAGATGTTTCTTTCTGAAGAATTGACTAAGATGTCTGTGTCCCTTCAGTCCCTTTCTATGAATATACTCAAAAGTAGAATAATCAAATTTGATTTGTATTTTTTCCAGCTAGAAATCATTAAATGGATGACCCAGTAAATCATGCTTGCACTAGTGTCCCTGTTCTCTCTCCCTCTTTTTTTTTTTTTTTTTTTAATTATGTTTTTTCTTCTATCAGGTGAAAATCAATTACAGCAAATTTCTCAGTTAATTGATCCATGAGTCTCACCAGCTTGGTCCACATTTTGACACAGGATAATAGTAAATGGATAAGATTTTAGAGATTGTTACTTTAGTCATATATATTGTGTGTGAATCGATTATATGCATATTGTTGCATGATTAGAAGAGATCAAATATATTACCTGACTTGCAATTGTCCACTGAACATCTATCGGTAATTGTACAAAATCGTTGAATTTAGTCCCTATGAGTACTGGAATTGCCGTCTACAACAATTCCAAAAAATTTAGTTAATACAAATTAGAAGCAAGGTCAGGGTCCTCTGTATTTAAATTTCTATATTGTTCCAATCTGATGCATTTTTAATTATACAATTATGTCTCGGAATTTATGTATCTTCAAATTCTTACTACATCATGTAATACTAATGCACATTCAATTCAACCCAATGATTGTCTCAAAATTCCCACTAGATTATCCATTAAGGAATATAATGAGACAAAAGAACACAGAGGTTATGAATGAAAAATGATTTTCGAACAGAATGTTTATACAGAAAGCATATCTAAAATGATTGTCAATGACATTTTTTAAAATATGAGGGCAATGATGAGTGTTTTGATTAGAAATTAAGAGATTATGAGAATTCACATCATTTTTTTTTTATAAACATGAGTTTGTAGATCATTACTTTTTGGGAATATATTAATATTAAAAAGCAGAGAGATTTGGGTAAAAAGATGGGGAAATTACCACTCAGTGGTACTTTTAGAAAGTTATTATAGATTTGTAAAAAAAATTCTAACTTTAATTATTAATATTTGTAAAACTTATCACTTATTTGTAATTATTATTATTATTATTTTTATAATTTACACTAAATTGAAATTTTCCCTAAAAAGATCAGATGAGGTGGTGAAGCAGAGCATGGGTACCTGATTCCATTTCCTTGATTCTTGATATCATCTGACAACACTACAAACCAGAGAGAGTTAAGTAGTAAACTCATGAGTTTACTTTATTATTCAAACCTAAATAATAACTACAATTTTGTAATCATAATCTATGAAAACCTTGGGCATTTTGAAAAATTACTTGTTTAAAGTACATCGACTTGTTAGATCAAACATGAATAACATTGCTACCGAGTCTTTATAAGCACTTGGAATCTGATTTTGGAATGTTTCATCTCCTTGTACACCATTCAAAATTATAATTGATCAGTAGATATATATACACATATATTGCCATTTCAATCAAGAAAAAGTTTAGCGATGAGACGGAATCAATCAACATCAGATGGTACGGCTTGTCATTAGAGAAACAATTTTATTCAGATTGTTCCATTTGTATTTTTTACGAATAGTTTTATACTTGTAGACTTGTTATTCAGTAAATTATTATGCAAAGAAGGAACCATGCATACTTGCAACCTCCCAAATTCTACAAGTGATATGTACCCCTCCAATGTAGAGTGTTTTATCCATCTGATTTAGTCTTGAATTTGATATCTCAAATCCTTCTTCTTGCCTCTCTCCCCCAACATACATTGTCTAAAAATGAATAACAAAAAAGAAAAAAAAAAATTCAAACAAGAACAACATTTTAATATGCTATGTTCGGTTGCCAGGAAAGCATAAAACAACATTTCCAAGAAAAAAAAAAAAATGCACTTGCCAGAAAACTAGTTTTCCCAATTTGGGAATCACCCAATAGACTGATCTTCAATGCAACCAAGTCCGAAGAGTCCCTGCTGTGTTCACAGCACCCACAAGGCATGTCTGGGGTCTCAAACCCTCTCTCTGAAGCCACCAGAGATGGAGACGACATGGTGGTGGTGTGTGGTAGCTGCCTGTAAGTACATGACTTCCCTAGAGTGCAAGCCAAGATTTGGTTCCAGAGCGAGCGAAAGCAGCGCTGGAGGCTCGAGGCCTGACAGAGGATTCGTCGACGGATGGTGACCCATAACATTTTTTTTAATTTTTAATTTTTATTTTTTTTGGTGAAGCTTAAGTAGTGAAAAAAAGGTCATGTGGGATGGCCTCAAAACAGCAGGTGTAGTGCGGCCATGGAAACGGAAAGCTGGGTTCTTTGTGGTATCATATTTCTGTGGGTGTGTTTGGGGGTATTTTTAGAACTCACTATTGATATATTTTTAACTACTGTTTGGCTAAGATGGTGGCCGATATATATGGATAGTTGACCTTTTTTTTTTGGGTAGGCTAAATCTAAAACAAATTCAACATTGTCAGCTTTTCAGATCCACTTATTAATTAACATGTGATAAAAAGTGAGGTCGAAATTTGATATGGCCCAACACTCAATATTTTGGGCCAAGTACAAAGAGATTAATTGAATTTTATTTTTATCACATGTTAATTAATAAATGAAAGAATACGCTACTTTATCTTATTTACATAATATATCCATTACATAAAATGCTTTCTTCTCTGGCTATTGTTGCTCCAACAACTTATCTAATGATGTGACAAACGGTTTTTTAGGCTGAAGCTTGGATAAATTCGATTGGGTTGAAGTCTGGTTATTCAATTTCACTCCATAGCATGCAGAGATTTGTCTAAATTTGATCCAAACTAATCTCTAGTCTTAACTGACTTGTCAAAGCCCAAGTCACTGCAATATAATTTATGCGGCATTTACACACATGAATTATTTTTTTTTTGTGCAAAACTGAAAATTTTGCATCTATAAAGGAGCATGATTATAGAACATTGATGTGTAAAATTGAAAAAAAAAAAACTTTATAAATGAAAAAATTGATAATGTTCTCAGTCTCAAAACTGAAAAAACTGATAATGTTCTAGGTTTTATTGGATATTTGAATCAAACCAATAAGTAGAAGAGTAAAAATGTTTAATCTCATGCTCTATTTTTTTCATCAATTAGTGAAACAATTATGTAGAACATTACTATCAAAAATTGATAATGTTCTTTAAAAATTTGAAAAAATTGATAATATTATCAGTTTTACTAAATAGAACTTTTTTGTTCAAAAAATCTTAGATAAGACCTGAACTACCATAACATTTGTAAATAGAACTTTTAGGTAATTAACTCATAATTTAATTGAACTAAGGAAAAATAATTAGCTAGTATTATATATAATTATATATTAGGGTAAATTACAAATGCACTCCTTGAGGTTTGTTTAAAATACAGATTGTCCATGTGGTTTGGAAAATTACAAATACTCCATTATCAAAAAATTTTATTTAACAGAATTAACTGAAAAAATGAAATTTCTAACTGCTCTCTTATACAATAATAAAATTACTTAAATTATTAATTGAAATATATTTTTAATATCATTAAAAATTGTTAATTAATTTGATGATTTATTAATAAAAATGAGCTATTTATTATGAAATTAGAAACCTTAGGGGGCAGGGGTGTAATTTTAAAAGTTACATGAAATAATTTGTATTTTAAGCAAACTTCAGAGGGTATTTGTAATTTATTTTGATGTATTAATAGTAGTATTCAAATTGTTTGGATTGTGAGAGTTATGCCTAGATACCGATCAAAATTTTGGGTTGACAAATTTTATTTTAGAAATTGATTAAATTTAAAAGAGTCATGCTAATGATAGTCTCAAGAGTTGTTAATAAGAAATCAAAAGTGATAAAATATTTATAATCCCAATATATATATATATATATATTTACATATTTTAAAATACTTTTATATACCTTTTACACATTTCAAAATAATTTTATATATTTTTCAACACCAACAACTATTTTTTTAACAATTTTCAATTTAAAATAATATTGTCAATGTTCTAATTTTTTTTTTTTTATATTTGGATTTGGATTTGAATTTGAATTTGGATTTGGATTTGGATATCGATTGCTTAGATTGAACTCCTTACAATTTTATACGTACAAACTCTATTTTTACATTACACAATGTCATATTTGAGGAACGTGAAATCTTATCTATGATATGAATTTGAATCGTTTTTTTTTTTTTTTTAATTTTTATTTTAAAAAAAAGTGAAGTGCAAATAATAGTGGTGTGTAAATATCATTTAGTGAAATTTCATTAATCCCTCAGCTGCTTGATTAAATTAACTGCATAATGAGAGAACATTGATAGGTGTGGACAAAACAAGCCAAAGAGGCTTGTATTCAACCAAATGATTGGGGGAAAAAGTGGCTTAACCTCATCAAGACATGTGGTCATCATTTATTATAAAGTATTGAGAAATTTATTAAAAAAAATCATTTTTTAAGTGGCTGTATCTCAATTAGTCCATAAGATATTTTTATATTTTAATAAGTCCTATTATTTGGACATTTGATATACCAAATCATAATTCTCATATTTAAGGAATTTTATGGATATTTCTATCATTACAAATATTTTTTTGCACGGTTAGCAATTTAGTGATGCGAACATTCATATTTTACAATGTGAATATTTACATTGACATGTTAACATTCACATTAACGATGTAAACATTCACATCATAGAATATTTACACTGCAAATGTGAATATTATTATGGGTACTTTGGTAACTATGTCACTCATAAAACTTATTGGAACATAAAAAAATAATGTAAACTAAATAGAACATAAGTAGGTAAAAATGAATTTATGAAAAAGTGCCCCTAATGTATTCTATTTTTAATTAGTATAATATTATGATAGCTTCCAATATCCTTGATTGGAATTTGGTTTTTCTTTCCAAAAAATTAACCAATCATATAAATATGTCTCACACGTTTTCAGGAAATATGCTATTCCAATGATTGTTTAATGGAATCATATGGTTCAAGAGCTTCATATCATATTCATAAGGTATAAAAATAAGAATTAGAATTGTATGATTACTAAGGTCTCGTTTGAGAGCCTCATATTTTAGTAATTTTTTAAATTTTTACAAAAAAGTGTACAGAAAAATAAAGAGACTGATATGATAATTTATAGTGACTTTTTGACTAAAATATATAGTTGACAAAGAAGGCTTAAGTAGATACCAACATTGGGTCAATGTTGGAATTAAAATACTTTATTATTGCAATTTGGCAAATCTCATATATAATGGGATTACTTATTGATTAAACTTATGGACCTAATGGACACACGGTTTGCAACTTGACTTTGGATATTTGGGATTTACTATGTGCTGGAAAATAATGATTTTTCGGTGTCTTTAATGTGAAATTAAAGTGGGTTTTAATTCTCAATTGATGTGGGTTAAAGTGGGTTTAGATTCTTTATAATGAGATCTTTACACCACAAAAAGGACCAAAAACTATTAACTTGAGAAATTGACTCATTAAGCTGGCCTCATGAAGAGGTGTTGGGAAAGGTGAAACCTTCTATCCCACATTGATTGTAGATGAGAGTATTAATGGCTATTTAAATATCATTTTTTGCCTAATGGTGTAAACCCTTTGCGACATCCAAATTTTTCGAAGGAAGGGAGTTATGGATGCTTCAAGGATGGGTTTGGGCCAAAACTATGGTCCAAGTTGGTTATACAAAAATTGCCATACGCGTTGCTCGAACCTGTCTGGGTTCGTGGATTTTGGATCTTGGATCTTGGGGCTTGGGCTTAGGCTTGAGGCTTGCTGGACTAGATTGAGTGTGGGGGTTGGGCTTGGCCCACCCATCTTAATCTTTTTGGGCCAAGCCAGTGTTGTGGGCTGTAGAATTATACACATTACACATATGTATAAAATGTGTGTAACTCCTTTATAATGATGATGAATTAATCCATCAATTTTGCGAGTTAATACAAAATTCATTTCTACATTTGTGATGGGCTTTGATGGCCGGAGTCTTTTCCTCTCTCCCTCCATGTGTATAAAAGGAGGCCCTCTCCTTCAATTTTCACCACCAGAAAATTTGCTCTTCCTGTCTTTAAAAGTTTTTCTCCAATTTTGTATTCTTCCTAGTGAGAGAGTGCTGCCACAGTTCTGTTAGCCGAAGCTACTTTTATATTCTTCCTGATAAGAGAGTACTGCCATAGTTCTGTTCGCCGAAACTACTTAGTAGGTGCATTGCTGTAGTTGGTCTAACCATACCGTCATATCCTGGGAGATAGAAGTCAAACAACCTCTAGCACCCAACCAGTGAGACAACGAATCTGTTTTAAGGAGACTGTCTAGTGCAGACTTCAGTTTACTTACTTTTGCTATGCTATTTTATTAAATATTTCTGTTCTTCTCATTGTTATTCCTACAGCGTTGTTTTATCACACAATTTCAATTATAAAATATGGATTTATGTATTCTATTTGATTTCATAATTTTTATAACAATCTTAAAACAGAACCACAATGTTTCCCATGAATTAGATAAATAAATTCGTAAATGTAATAGGTTAAGTATTACATTATATTTGCATATGTTAGGTTTTTAATATAGAACATCATGTCCGTTGCACTGTTTCGGAAACCTGTGTGTGAGTTCCTGGGTTCTGTAGCATGTGAAGGTAAATTACCATATTAATATATGAATCTGCATGCTGTTGCGTTGGCCCCATAGTAATAAAATATCTAAGGTCAATTAGTTTTTAATTCCGAGTATGTCACTGTGAATTGCTTTGCTTACAATATCTAGTTTTCTTTGGTTTTCGTGTCATATTTGCATAATATAAATTTTGCCCACAAATTCTATGATTGTCATGATTGGAATATTAAAGTCATGTAATTTGAATGTCATTGTTTTCATTTTTATTGCGTACTGTTGCATAGTAGTTGTTTGTCATTATTAGTGTATGAATATAAAATAGTAATTCATGGAAAATTATTCAATACTCTCGGAACACTATGTGGTTATACTCTATGCCAATCACT